ATTGAAAGGTTAACTTAACCGCAACAACAACGTACCAAGTGAAATTTTATAGCACAAAGCTGAGAAAAGGTTATTAAACCAGTGATAGGAAAAAGTTTTAATAAAAAATAACAACTCGAAGTGAGATGATACGAACCAAAAAATGTGCACCGAGAAAAACTTTTATTAAACGAGTGCTTTGATTAAAACAAGTAACTTTACTCCATCAACAACGTCCCAAGTGAAATCTTAATAGCACAAGGCTGAAAAACAACTTATAGATCCGTGACACAAAAGGAGTTATAATAAAATATCAAATTCAAGGTGAAAGTGATATGAACTTAAAATTGTGCACCGAAAAACTTGTATTAAGCAAGTGCTTCGCTTTAAATAAATCACCTTGCAACAACAACAACACCTGATCACTTCAAAATGGCGGTATCTTCGGTGTATCTTAATAGCGAATGTGGAAAACAAAGAACGGTTTGCAAATTTTTTTATGAAGTTCAAAGCAAATTAAATCTATTTTACCCTTTTTCTCACAAATTCACCCGCGATATTTTTGTTTGACACTCGATTTTATAAATAATGTTTGAAAGTGCACTTAGGTGTGAAATCAAAACCACGTACCTTTGCAAATTGAAGTGCTGCTTTTGCGATAAAATAAGTTGCTGGAACGGTTGCTGCTGTGGCAAATGTAGCGATCAAGTGGTAGTGTATCCTATGTCCTTTTGCGGTGTATCAATAATAAAAAAGCCTTCAACTGGCAGATGATCCTTGCAAATTGTGGTAATGTGACGATCAAGCGGCAGTAGTGCGTATAGACTGTATTTTTGGCGCTGGCGTCTTGGAATTGTTAAGGCGCTCGCACGTAAAGAAAATAAGTAAAAAAAAAAGCGTTTTAGTATTTAATGGTTAACAATAATAACAAATGTTTGCTTTATTTGTTGAGACAAAATATTTAATAAAACAGAGTGAATTTAACTATAAATTTTGCTAATAGCTTGATGAAATTACCTTGCTGACGTGGTGTGGTGGCTGGCAGTCGCTCTGCTGGTCTTCTAGGAAGTGAAGGAGTGCCAATAAACGAAAACAGGTTTGAGCCCGCCGAACAGTAACCTTCGTTGAGTTTCCCCTCAACTCAGTTACCGTACGGCGGGGCATATTGTTAATGGCTGGAATGTTAGCTGTATCTTATATATGTGTGTGTGCACTCAGATACAAAATTATTTACCGCACATTAGGGTGGTGCAGCATATTTAGGTATGGGCCTAAACACGGTCACCTACGGTATGGCTTGTGGACCGTACAACGCTATTCGCGCATTGCGACAGTGCGCCAGTGATAACTTTTCAGTTATCCACAATATCAACCGGGCAGTTGAGGCCAAGGAGAGCATACTCTCAAACTTTTACGTCGATGATTACTTGGATAGTGTAAATACTACTACAGAGGCAATCGAGCGTGCTCGTAATGTCGACAAGATCCTGCGCCAAGGCCATTTCGTTTTGGGTAAGTGGAACTCCAATTGCACGCTGACCTTGACGGCACTTGCGGATGCATCAGTTGCCAGCACCGAGTCGTTTCCGAGTAATTCTGATACCACTGTACTGGGCTTGCACTGGAACCCTAATAATGACACTTTATTTTACAAAGTACGGTTGCCGGTGCTCGATGCAATTCCTACTAAACGCAACGTACTAAGCGATGTCGCACGATTATACGACCCATCGGGATTATTGTCGCCGGTGATCGTATGGGCCAAGATTTTTATCCAGATGCTTTGGAAGGCAGAGCTGCCATGGGATACACCATTACCAGGCGATTTACGAGATGAATGGTTAACATTTCGGAATGGTTTGTACCAGCTTTTCAGTATTCGGGTGTTGCATTGGTTGGGCATGACCAAGACGTCCACGGTAAACTTTCACGGCTTCTGTGACGCCAGCAGCAAAGCTTACGCTGCGGTCGTCTATGTGCGCATCGAAGATCCAGAGGGTGAGGTACGCGTATCCCTGGTTGCGGCCAAAACAAGGGTAGGACCCAGTAAGAGTACTACAATTCCACGAATGGAACTCAGTGCAGCACGACTACTCGCTATGACAATGGAAGAGATTTGTCACGCCTTGCGACTGGACAGCGCAGGTTGTATGTATTGGAGTGATTCGACCATTGTCCTCCACTGGATCCAGAAAGCACCGACCGTACTAAAGCCGTATGTAGCCAA